GTGTTTACTGTAATACAAGAAATTTAGAATAAAATAAAAACCCTAAGCGAACTACAAGTTTTTACACACTTCCAACTCTAATCAGAAAAAACATTACCTTTTACTTAAACTTTCATTACTAAATTCCCAGCCTTTGGTCTATCATCTATAGCCAACTATAAAGATCTCTAAAATCAAAACAAAAATTCCAATGTGTTTGCTTAATAGAGGATTGTTACAAAGTATCTATAGAAGATGGCACAAAGTTTCAAAAGTTTCTGAGATACAATGCACAGTGTAGCTCAAAGGTCCTCACGTTTAAGACAAATGCCAAACTTCCCCCCCAAATTTCCTTTCCAGACATTACTGTGCTTTGATAAGGAATGTGAAAGCTACTCATTAACTGGAGTCCAACAGGATGACTGAACTATATGTCAATGGAATAAGCTAAAAACTGAGCACTCCAAAACATCTAGGGAAGAATTACCAATACTATTGGGGGAAATTACACAGGCTTCCAAAATGCAGTTGCTGTTTTTTTGTTTGTTTGTTTGTTTTGGTTTTTCGAGACAGGGTTTCTCTGTGTGGCTTTGCGCCTTTCCTGGAACTCGCTTTGCAGGCTGGCCTCGAACTCACAGAGATCCGCCTGGCTCTGCCTGGCAGAGTGCTGGGATTAAAGGCTGTGCCACCACCACCCATCCAAAATGCAGGGTTTTTTTTAGTGTGTGTGTGTGTGTGTGTGTGTGTGTGTGTGTGTGTGTGTGTGTGTGTGTGGTCTTACAGCACCCAACAATTCCTTGTTTTTGTTTCAGACTTTATGGCTGTTAAGAGCATGAAGCTAGCTAGTAGCATCAGAAGGGGGAAAAGGTACAGAAGATAGTAGGAAGCACTTAGATGATGAGTAGCTTTAATTTTTCTTGTCACAATTCATAACACACTGGCATTCTGTGGGAGTAAAATTAAGCAGGCACATAAACATACAAGACTGTCTAGCCAACTCATCGATTCGGTTGGTACGTAACTTGTGAGAATTTGATACTCTACTGACATTACTAGGAGAACTAACAGATTAAAAAGTACCTCATCAGCCAGACGGTGGAGGCAGAGGCAGGCAGATCTCTGAGGTCAAGGCCAGAATGGTCTAAAGACTACAGAGTGAGTCCCAGGACAGCCAGGGCTACACAGAGAAACTGTCTCAAAAACAAAAACAAGTACCGTGAACAATGAAACTAGACCACAAACTCCAAAGACAGAACTCACCTGTTTTATTCTCTGCTGTTACCCCCAGTGGGTGACAGAGCACAGTACATTAGATGGCCAAGTTAAGGGATAAAATTTCAAGAGAGTGTGTTTGGGGGCTGTAGACAGCTGAGCAGTTTCGAGAGCTTGTTGCTCTTACAGAAGACCAGAGTTTTGGTTCCCAGCATCCATGCGGAGGAGTGTGGCTCACATTCACCTGTTAACTACAGCTCCAGATCTGACAACTTTTTCGAGCCTCTAAGAGCACCCACACAGACACATAAAAACTGAAAATAAATCTGTTTTGAGTTGGCTATGTGAAATACAAATCAAATACCAGACAAATGGTTAACCTTCATTGACTTGGATTTAGAATCTCCTTGGAAATACATCTGAGTGTGTCTATGAGGATGTTTCCAAAAAAGGTTTAACTGAAAAGGGAAAAACTACACGTGCTAGGGTCCAGATCTGAATAAGGACACAATAAACACGAGCACTCATTGTACTCTGCTTCCTGACTTCAGACCCAATGCCCCCATGCCTCTCCACCATGAGGGGCAGTATCCCCTAGAACAGCGGCTCTGGACATGTGGGTTGTGACCCCTTTGGGGGGTCATATATTAGATATTTACATTATGATTCATAACAGTAGCAAAATTACAGTTACGATGTAGCAATCAAATAATTTTATGGTTGGGGTCACCACAACATGAGGGAGCTGTATTAAAGGTCACAGCATAAGGAAGATCGAAAACCACTGATTTAGAACTATAAACCAAATTAAACCCTTAAATTGCTTCATGTAGGTATTACACTAACAAAAAAAAAAGAAAATATACTGTCAATGTTCATAGTTTATTTTTCCAATTTATCTTAATGAGAAGGGGCAAGTGATAGTTTGCCTAACATTCACAAAGCCCCAGGTACAATCCTCAGCACTGGGGGAGAAAAAAAAAAAAAAGGCTAATGTAGCTGCCATGGTGACACATATCCTTTATCCCAGTACCTGTGAGGCAGAATTCAAGTACAACCTGGTCCATATAATGAGTTCAGTCCAGAGTTGTACAGTGAGGCCCTGTCTCAAAAAAAAAAAAAATTCTTTAAATAGACTGATGCCACTATCCATTATCATATATGTGATCCTGAAATAGTCTTTTTTTTGTTTGTTTGTTTTTGTTTTTCGAGACAGGGTTTCTGTGTGTAGCTTTGCGCCTGTCCTGGAACTCACTTGGTAGCCCAGGCTGGCCTCGAAAACACAGAGAGCCGCCTGGCTCTGCCTCCCGAGTGCTGGGATTACTTTTTTTTTTTTTTTTTAAAGAATTATTTATTTAGTATACAGTGTTCTGCCTGCATGTATGCCTGCAGGCCAGATGAGGGCACCAAATCTCATTATGGATGGTTATGAGCCACCATGTGGTTGCTGGGAATTAAACTCAGGACCTCTGGAAGAGCAACCAGTGTCCTTAACTGCTGAGCCATCTCTCCAGTCCCCCTGAAATGTCTTAACAGTTCAAGTTGGAAGAACAAAACCAAAATTTCTGTAAACGGAGGGAAAAAAGCACATGGGGTTCCATGCACTCCAGTCTCTAAGGGAATGGGGTGGCTTACTTGCAGCTTTTGTGTCTAAGCCAATTTTGAGAAGGCAATACTGGAAAACGTTAAACAGTCTGGCATTTACCAGCAAAAAGTCCTTTCTACAAACCTAAACTGTACAGATACATGTGGCACGTAGATCTAAAATACGTATGTACAGATATTTTTGGAGGTTCCTTATTATTATTGTTAATCTTAATACAAGAAGAAAATTCCAAGGAAGGAAAGACAGTTTCTCTAACACTGCACCTAATCTTACTCAGCTTCTCTTGGTACAACTGCATGTCAGCACAGATAACATTTTTCTCCCTCAGATTTTAAAGTAGCATAACGATTGTAATTTTTTAATGTTTATGACTTAATCCCATTTACAGAATACTCTATAAACTCACCTGCCAAAGGCTCCCCAGGAGTCCACATTATTACAGAGCTCCCAAAACAACAATCACAACTTACAAGAAAACTCATTCCCTTTATATTTGGTTTTTCTCACTCTTCACACTTCGTCATAGTTTTTCCTCCACCCACTTTTTTGCTCAGTTTTCAGTTGCTATACCTGCTCCCTACAAGCAAAGAAAGAAAGCTACTCCTGCTTCTCCAAAGCGGAGAAACTCTGTTCCTTGTCCTCAGCCCCTGCCTCAACAGGGCCCAGTGGTCCAACTGTCAACGAGGAAATGAGAGGGGGTAATTTCCTATTGCCATTCTCCCCTCCCTCAACCCCCATGCAACTACCGAAGTGAGTATATTCAATGGAGACTCAAAACTGGTTTCCCATAACACTGTCCAGTACAAACTAACAGAAGCCAGATGGGAGCTGGTGGGCAATGGGCTAAATTTAGGTTAGGTACTGTGCTCCCTAGCCCATTCCGTGGCAGTGGCTCTTGACCTAGTGGAGGACTGTATGTGACTTGCTCTTCACCTCTTAGCTGTTTTGTCAGAATCAGACAAAGCACATGGATTCCAGCACCTAAGGGGGCTACCAACAAACAGAAGGAAATGGGACATGGAGGAAAGTTTGCGAAACTAACAAAACAATGGTACACAAAAGGAGCAGACAATGAATAAACATGCTACTTCAAAACGTCTCACAAGTAACCAAGGAACCACTAGGAAAGATCAACAATGGCCTCTTTAAAAAGATAAAGGGTTAAATCTCTAATCTCCATGACTGAAATTCCCTTCTTTTAGTCCAAGTATCCTAAAAGGTATTGTCAATTAATTGCTTAAGAGATGATTCTAAAACAACAGGAAAAATAACCTTCAAGCTACCCATTGTGAAAAGGAAGAGACTTAATGACATTTAAATCTTCTTGGTTATGGTTAGTAATTAAGAATGTCTAGAAAGAAAAAAAGGCAACAAAAAAAGAGAAACCTTTCATAGTAAACTGATGCACTTTCCACATAGATTTGGAATTTAACCCAACTTCAGAAACACTAGGAAAACAAAAGCTGTAGGCAATTTCTGGGAAAATAAAATTACATTGAAAGAATTTACATTCAAGTTCCACACAGCTTGGTTAGTATAAAAACCCCATTGATAAAAACAGAATTAACACCTCATCTCTATTCACAAATACAAACCAGACAGAATACGGGGATTACAAAACCCTGGGATGAGAAACATCAAATTATGAAGACTGAAGTTGTCCTCTATCGGGAATTTGGGGTGGGGGGTGGGGGAGAGTATTTTACTACAAGTCAAACCTTCAATTATCTGGTCACCCTTATTGTTCAGATGGCTGTTAAAGAAAAAAAAATGGAAATAGCTGCTCGCTACTCTCCATTTTACACGTTGGGAGGGACACAGTCACATCAGGGTGAGGCTCACAGCATCCTCCTGCCTCGGTCACGTCGAATTCTTCGAAGGACTCAGGGACAGCGGCGACAACCACACCCCTGAGGACGGCGAGCATTCCCAGGCTTACCACACCCCCTCGGCGACACGGGGGAAGGCAGACGAATTTCACGCCGCGATCGCCGCCTCCCGCCCCCCTCCCGCACGCAGGCGGCTCCCGGCTTCCGCCTCGCTCCCCGCCGACTCGGGTACCCCGCGACCACCACCGGCCTCCGGCGCGCCCGCCCCCGCGCCGCGGCCGAAGCCTCGGGCTCGAGGGCGCGCCCCCGGCCCACGCCCCCCGCCGCCGCCGCCGCCGTCGCCGTCGCCGTCGCGGGGCGGCCTGCCCCCTCACCTGGCCGCCGGCTCCTCCCTCGTCTGCCCGGCCGGGGGCCGCCGCCGCCGCCTCGGAGCAAGCGCGGGCCGCGGGAAATCCGCTGAGGAGGGGGAGGGGGGCGGGATGCCGGGAGCCGCCTCCTTTCTCCTCGCCGCCGCCGCCGCCGCCGCCGGCTCCCGCAGCCAGGCCGCGCGTCCTCGCCCGCTCGCCCACTTTCTCACGGCCTCGTGGGTCGGCCGGCCGGCCTCTCCCTCCTCCCCCCTCCCCCCACGCCCGCACTCCTCGTTCCCACACGCTCACACGCGCCCCGCCGCCGCTCGCTCGTTCGCTCGCTCGCTCGCTCCCCCTCCTCACTCGCCCGTCGCGCGCGCGCGACCCCGCTCTCACTCACTCACACACAGACTCACACTCACGCTCAGCGCGCGACGCCGGCGAGGCCGCCCCGCGTCCCCCAGACCGACCGAGCCGCCGCCCCCCCCCCCCCAGCCCGAGCCGAGGACCCGCGCGGCCCCGCCCCCCGCCGGCGCCGCACTCGCGGGCGGGGGGCGGCGGAGGGGGGCGGGGCGGCGGAGGGGGCGGGGCGGCGGAGGGGGCGGGGCGGCGAGCGCGCCCCGCGCCGACTGACACCTGCGAGGAGACCGCCCCGCGGCCGGAGGCGAGCCACGCACGCGGGGGGGGGGGGGGGGGATCGCGGGCGCGCGCGGCTCGCGACGGGGAGCGGGGGGGGAGGGGAGCCACGCGGGCGCTCCGAGGACGCGCCTCGCCCGCGCTCCCCCCTCCCCCCCGCCCCCCCCCCAAACCGTCCTCCGGGAGCCGGGAAAACGGGTAGGGGGCGAGAGTAGGCCCTGCCGTTCGTTGTGCGCGCGCCCTTCCGCCCGCCCGCCCGCCCGCCCGCGCAAGCCCCCTCTCCGGGCTGCGGCCGGCCGTGCGCGCTTGGATGCTCGCCGACCCCGCCGAGCCGAGCCGAGCCGAGCCTCCCGCGCCACGTCTGGCCCCGGGACTCGGGCGGCCCGCAGTGGCGCCAGCCGTCCTCCCTGGCGCCCTGCCTCACCAGAAGGCAGAGATTTGGGGACAAAGATGATGGGAACTGCCATCGTCCCGGTCTGCGAATGCACCGAAGACAATACCGCTCCGTAGGGGAGAGGGCGCGTTCACTGCAGCCTCCGCCGGCCGAGCGTGCTATACGCTAAGGGAGGCTGAGGCAGGAGCATCACAGGCGACCCTGTGCCACAAAAGAAAATAAACGATACCGTAAAATTCTGTGGGCTTCGTAGGTTCAAAGACAGACAGGGACTAGAGCCAGCTTGGCCTCTTGGAAACCAGTATGAACATACAAGGATCTCCCTGAATTGATGTCAGAATGAACAGATCATACATACGTTTGAGAGCATTTCATTATAAAAATCATTGTCCAAAAAAAGAGGCTAAACATTGACCATACTCCACTACTTAAACTCCCTTCTCTACACTATGAATGAAACTGAGGGTGAGGAGTGACCGCCCTTCTTTACATTGAAAATTCATTCCCAAATAACTTCAGTCACGAGAGATCCCAGACATGAGCTACAATCCAAGCAGCTTGTATCCCCGTCTCAAATCATGTCAGCCAACAACTTCTGGCTATGCCTCTTCACCATTTCATCATCTTATCAACAACTTCTGGCTATGCCTCTTCACCATTTCATCATCTTATCAGTCCTGAAGACCCGGCAGTGGTTCTCAAACCGTGGGTTTAACCCTTTGTGGGGCAAACGACCCTTTCACAGGGATCACCTAAGACCATCGGAAAACATGAAAACACATGTTTACATTGTGCTTCATAACTGTAGCAAAGTTACAGTTATGAAGTAACAAGGAAGATAATTTCATGGTTGAGGGCCACCACAGCCTGAGAAACTAACTGTATTAAGGGTCGTAGGAAGGTTGAGGACCACTGGCCTAGAGGGTGGGCAAAATTGCTCGATGGGTAAAGGGTACACTCTGCCAAGCAAGAGGACCAGTTCCCACAAGTGTGACCCGTCTCTACCTCTTTCTCTCTATAGGTGTGCATACAGAGAGTAGATACATTTTAAGAGCTGCACCATAACCTAGGGTGGGAACCACTGGAGCCACACCGCTGGCATTGGGTTGCTGGTTCCACTAACTGTGATCTTCTCAAGTAAATTCACCTCCCTGTCTCTTACCCTGTTTGCCTGAAAAAAGAAAAAGTGGTTTAAAAAAGGAGTTACCTACTTTATTTAGAATTGTCACAAGGAGCTAGTGAGCACAGCAGTTCCTCAATATCCATGGTAACTGGACCTAGGACTCTCTTAGGGGATATTCAAGTTCCATATATACAGTGGTAGGTAATGTTGCATATAACCTACACACATCCTAAACCATCTCTAGATGATATACTGAATACAACAAATACCATACAAACGACAAAACACCTGAACATACTGATTCAGTACTGATGCAGTTTTTTTCAGATGTTTTCAGTCTACAGTTGGTTAAACCAAAGAAGTCTGACTGTACATGACACCTCCTGACAGAGCAGCTGCTTATTATGAGTGGTTATATCTATTCTTTGTTATGCCATTGAGAGCAATCAAAGATAGGGAACCCTCTTCACAGAGGACATTTAGAGGAGCAAACGTGCAGTATGGCACACTGCCTTCAGAAAAAAACAAAAAACACGGAAGGGGCTATTCTGATAGCCTCCTGGGACAGAAAGCATGTTTAACGAAAAGATCGTGCTTTCTTAAAGCATTTTGTAATAAAGGGAAACTTGATCACAATGAAAATCTGGCAAGTACATGCACACATGTAGGATTGTGTACATACGTGTACATACACACACACACACACACACACACACACACACACACACACACACACACACACGCACACATTGGCAGAGAGAAAAGTTGCACAGAGCATGAATAGCTCATTCCTTCTACTGTAACAGAATCCGATTGATAGTAACCATATACCTTCCAGAAAAAGTAGGTTGAGCAAGTGAAGCTGCGGGTATTCTATCAACTCCCTGTTCACTTGCAATTTAAAAATGCTGTCTACTAGCCACCATATTGCTACTCCCTGTGGGCTATCTGAGTGTATAGTATTGTTTTTGATGTATGCTAATGGAAAGGGGGACAAAAAGCAATGCTGTTTTAAAGAACAAAGCAATGGCATGGCCTTTTGTCTTAATACTTAGTGTGTTTATGTATTTAGTATGATAAAAAAAGAACCAAGACACACATAAGGGACCTGGAAAAGATTGAAAAGGAAAACAAAGACCATCTCCAAGCTAAGTTCTAAAGGAGAATGCCAGCATTCTGGTCTATCCTTTGGACCTTTTTATTCCTCAGTCATATCTGAACAGCAAAATATATTTTACGTTCATAAAAATCCCTTGAGGGGTAGATAAAACAAGTATGATAAACGGTACGATATTCAATGTTCTCAGCAAGTTACAAGTAAAAACCTAGTGGTAGAGACCATTTCCAGTTCTTAGGTATGCCTTAAGCTTAAAGTAATTGACACTTCATATAAACTGGTTCCCAGCTGAGGTGGTATTGTGTTTCCCAAAATATTGTGTACCCTAATAAATTTATCTGGGGTCAGAGAACAGTCAGCCACTAGATACAGAGGTTAGAAAATGGTGGCACTCATGCCTTTAATCCTAGCATTCCAGAGGGAGAAATCCATCTGGGATCTCTGTGAGTTCAAGGCCACATTGGAAAGAGCCAGGCATGGTAACACATGCCTTTAATCCCAGGGAGTGAGTCTTTTTAATCTCAGGGAGTGATGGTAGAAAGCAGAAAGGTATATAAGGCGTGACGACCAGAAACTAGAACCATTTGGCCTGGTTAAGCATTTGGGTGGTTAAGTATTTGACTGGTTAAGCTTTCAGGCTTTCTAACAGCACAGTTCAGCTGAGAGCCATTGGGATGAGGACACAGAAGCTTCCAGTCTGAGGAAACAAGACCAGCCGAGAAGTTGGCCAGGTGAGGTTAGCTGTGGCTTGTTCTGTCTCTCTGATCTACGAGCATTGACCCCAATAACTGGCCTCGGGTTTGATTTTATAAGAACTGTTAAGATTCATGCTACATTCAGCTTTCTCCAACAGGCAGCTCTTAAACTGGATTCCAAGCACTTCTGAATGGAATTTTAGAGATAACTCAAGATTACTCTGCTTCAGGTTTGCCTAAGGATATGGCTCATTTTAAACTGTTATATTGCCAAAGTACTTAGATGAACAAATAATCATTTAACTTTGCTGAATAAAGTAATGGGGCTGAAATCTCCACCATTACCGTCTGGCTAAGGCTAAGAATGGCCATACACAGATTCAGTCACAACACTGAGGCTTGATGGTTGGTTTGCTTAGACAGCTATGTCTCATATTTCCTTCAAGATATGCTTTATTATAAATATTTGGGGTAGTTTGTCTTGACTTCATTATACACCCACTGGGTTTTGTTTTGTTCTGGTTTGATTTGGTTCAGTTTTTTCAAGACAGGGTTTCTCTGTGTATCCCTGGCTGTCCTAGAACTCAGATCTGTAGACCAGGCTGGCCTCAACTCAGAGATCTGCCTGTCTCTTCCTCCCGAGTGCTGGGATTAAAGGCATGTACCACCACTGCCTGTTTTTTTTTTTTTCATTTTAAACTATTACTTTATTTGTATGGATTGTTGCCTGTATGTCTGTGCACCTCCTGTATCCCATGAGACTGCAGATGCTTGTGAGCCACCATGTGAGGGCTTGGAATTGAACTCAGGTTCTCTAGAGGAGCAGCCAGTGTTCTTAACTGCTGAGCAATAATCTCCAGCCCCCAACTTGATTTTCTCTGGCGAATTAATGTTGTTCTGAAGGTTGGAGGTCAGCTGAATGTTCTGCAAAGGCATACTATATAGGTAATACTACAACCCTTGAGTCAGATAAATCTTATTTTAAACCCTAGCTTTACTTACTAGCTACATGGGACTGTTGCTTATTAACTCCACAAACCTCAAATTTTTTTGCATTAATAAGATAAATATCTCGAAAAACCAAAAAATAGGATAAATATCTTATTAGCACTGATTTATTAAATTATGAGGATTAATAAAGTTACCCAAACTTAACGCAGTTTAACATAACTCAA